AAAAATCAGCTCAAAGACATTTTTATGAAAATCACTTTATTTGGCCAAAAATAATTTTTAATATAAATGGAAAATAATTAAAGACATTTTAAAAACAAATAAGTCGAAAAATCTAATTGAAAAAATTAAAATTGCTGACGAGTTTATTACTGACAAACTTGAAATATCTAATGCTTTCAATGATAATTTTATTAATTTGGTTAGTTCTTGTCGAAACACTTTCTCTGTTGACTCCTTGAATAAACTAAAAAAATTTACAGATCCCGTTCTATTGTCTTTTTTGCTTGAACCTACCAATCGATCAGAAGTTATTCAAATAATAAATTCGCTTAAGCCCAAAATGTCAACTTCTGATGATGAGCTTAACTCATTCATAGTTAAAACTTTCAAAAACGAAATTTTATCTCCACTTACTCATATTTTCAACATTTTCGCAAACAAGGTATTTTTCCATCAAGCTTTAAACTCTCAAAAATTGTTCCTATCATGAAAAAAAATGACCCCTATAACTTAAATAATTACAGACCAATTTCTTTATTATCACCTTTATCCAAAGTATCAGAAAAACTGGTTTACAAATGCTTATTTTCTTTTCTTATGAAAAACAATGTTCTCTCTGAAAACCAGTACGGATTCAGAGCCCACCATTCATGTGAACTAGCCATTCTAGAATTGGTTCAAAATATATTGACCAACACGAGTTCACGTAGGCTTACTCTTGAAAGTTTCCTCGATCTTAAAAAAGCATTTGATCTGATTGATCACGATATTTTGTTACATAAACTCAACCATTACGAGATTCGTGGTATTACAAATCAATGGTTTGAGAGTTATATCTCGGGTAGAAAGCAATATGTTTTTGTGAATGATGTTAAATCTGGGACGCGTGAAGTTTCGTGTGGAGTCCCGCAAGGGTCTGTATTAGGCCCTTTGCTTTTTTTGATTTATATAAATGACATTGCCTACTTACCAAAAAAGATGAATTGTATTCTTTACGCTGACGATTCAAACATTTTTTATTCTTCTGATGACCTTAAACGAGATTTAGATAGCATAAATAATGAACTCATATTATTCGAAGATTGGTTCTCTATGAACTTTATATTTGCACCAACCTAATAATTTGTCTTTGAAAATCTTAAATCAAAAATCAATAAATTCATAGGTATATTTTATAAAATCAAAAATAAGATTAATTCCACAATATTAAAAGATTTGTATTATAACTTTATATACCCTTATATTCATTATTGCGTGATCATATGAGGAAATAGTCCTGCTTATCAGCTAGATCCCCTGTTAAAATGTCAAAAACGTTTTATAAGAATTTTATTCGATTTGAAATTTAATGACCACACCTCTAATTATTTTCAGATTGCAAAACTACTTTCAATAAAACAAATTTATTACACATGCATCTCAATATTTATATTTAAACTTATTAACAACTTAATTCCAACAAATTTTAATAATTTGTTTATTTATAGTAACACAATCCAGTTAAAACAAACAAGACATACCTCAACATTTTATATTGAAAAAACAGATTAAAACTTATCAATAGTAGCATAAGAGTCGTCGGACCTAAGACGTGGAACAAATAACCTGATTATTTAAAAGAAGCAAAATCCGTTGTAAAATTTAAAAAAGACATTAAATCCTACTTTTTAACATTTAAACCCCCTTAAATTTTTGTGTGGGTTTATGTACGTGTGTGTGTGTGTGTGTGTGTGTGCGTGTGTGTGTGTGAGTGCATGTGTGTGTGTATGTGTGTGTGTGTGAATAAGTATGTTTTACGTGGATCTATATATATATATATATATATATATATATATATATATATATATATTTGTGTTTCAATAATTACAAAAGACATTCTGATAAAAATGTAAAAGAGTTGATTGTTTAATAATTTTGATTCCATTTTTTATTTTTTAGGATTTGTAATATGAATGTGAGTTTACGTGCACTAAAGTATTTAAAATATGCTTTCATTTTTACAATTGTCCCTGGTAATCATTACAAGGAAACCATATTTTCTTTTCGATTTCCAGAACATTTCTTTTCATTGATATCATTTCTTTGATTTCTTTGTTTTGATTTGATGAAATAAAAATGTCAAATGTCAAATATATATATATATATGATCCATACTAGGACTCCTTCTATTTTCAATCTACATAAATAACCTTTGCAACGTTTCGCCCTCAATCAAATGCTTACCGTTCGCAGACGACACCAACCTTCTTTTCACTTAACCTACCTGATTGCTCTGAACCTATCAATCTTGAACTCCAAAAATACTCTAACTGGTTATTCAATAACAAACTAATCATAAATTATTCAAAATGTGCATACATTATTTTTTGCCCAAAAATACTCACCAACCAAGCTCCTAACCTAAACCTATTAATTAATGGCGTTCCTATAAGCCGCACCCTATTAACCAAATTCCTTGGAATTACCATCACAGAAAATCTTTCATGGAATTCTCACCTACAAACTACCTCAGACCAATCAACAAACTCATAGGCATCTTCCACAAAATCAAATATAAATTCTCTCTTTCTGCTCTACGCACGCTTTATTACATCTAGCCTTATCTAATCTACTGCATCACACTATGGGGAAATAGTCCAAAAAGCCACCTGAATAATTTAATACTCTCCCAAAAAAGATCAATACGTTTAATTTTTAACCTCAAACCCGATTCTCATACTAAACTCTTCTTCCTAGCAAAAAAAATTTTACCACTTAACTTCATCTATCTTTACTACTCTGCTTTATTCGTTTTTAAATTTATCAAAAATCTTCTTCCACCTCACTTTATCAATTTCTACACATTAAGTAACTCCATCCAATCTACAACCACTAGACACCATCCTCTCCTCTATATCTACAAAACTCGCCTCAAATTAGTCCAGACAAGCATAAAAATAACAGGTCCTAAAATTTGGATAGAACTTGCACCTCTTCATTTAAGAGCCATCATAAACCTACAACATTTCAAGTCAAAATTCCGTGCTTTTTTATTGACACTGGATCTCGACTCCACCACCTCATACTATATTATGAATACGTTAGAACAAATGATGTGGATGAATGGTCTTTATGATTGGTTAAACATTTATGTGTTTATATATGTACTGAGCAAACATTTACATATTTATATGTTTATATATGTATGACACGAACATTTACTTATTTATCTTCAATTATCTTTTTGCTTCAGTTATTTTCCTTATTTTATTTCATTGACTATTCATATATCTACCTGCGGTGGCCACCACAAGACAAACAGTCTTATTCGGTCTCCGCTTGTTCAACTTCATAACTTTTATTCACTTATTTGATATGTTGTTGATTATGAATAAATTTTGAAAATGAAAAATGAAGTGAAATATATATATATATATATATATATATATATATATATATATATAGTATTAAAACTGTCAGAAATGCTGTGATTTTATCAATAACATATTTTTTCAGTTCCTTAGTTGAAGATGAATGTGTGAATACACGGTTAACAAAGATTTTTATTGTACTTATATTGAATTGTTTCATCCACTTGCTTAACCCATTCAAAACAATACCTTTATTTGTTGCTTTGACATATACGGCACTTGTGAATCTTTGTTCGTAATGCGTTACCAAAACATCCAGAAATGGCAAGGAATTTTCACATTCGTGCTCGATGGTGAAATTCAATTTTTATCGGTTCAAGGTTGCTAGTAGCTGGTTGACTTGTTCCGGATCAGCATGTTCGCGTTAGTTAGCTTCCTGTTTATCACTCAGACATGGTCTCCTAAAACATACCAAAAACACATCTCAAATCTCTTTTCCAAATATGCACCACTGAAGCGCCTTTTCCCACCTCCAGAGGCAAGCTATAGAAGCGAATTGATAGTGTAGCCAGGGGCTCACCACTCGTTGCCCCGTTTGCAAATGTTTTTTTAGGACATCTTGAGAGCCAAACATTTAAAGACAATTAGGAATTGAAAACAAACATTTATGCCAGATATATTGACGATATCTTCGTCGCATACGATGATGGTACGTGAAATTTTTGGCGCAACGAAAAAGTATTATAATCTCTTTGGTTGCACACCATGATCTAAAATAATCGTTGGAATTTCCAATCGTTTTGTTAGTTGCGTTTTCAGGAAATCGTTGAAAGGGAAAGTGAAGAAAGTATAGTATTAAAATTACCAAATGCAATTTTTTCTAAATTTATTTCCAGTTTTAATAAACTTGATTTTGTAACTTTTTATAAATTAAGTTTACTGAATATAACTCTCATAAATAAAAGTAATTGCAATTGTAAAAACTAAAAAGTAAATTAATATTAAATTAATAATAATATAAATAAATAATTATATTAATAGTAAACACTTACAGTTAGTATATATATAATAAAGTAAACTACTGTAAAAAAAGGTAAAGGAAAAAGAAAAGATTTTAAAAAAAGGCATCGTAAACCCATAGTTCTACCCTTCCAGCAAAAAGTAAAGTAAGTCTAATTCGTCGATCAATTAAAATTAAAAGTGGACAATAACATATAAAATAACATGGTTTTTTATATGGTGGTTCAGTAGACTGGTGTCTCTGTGAGAGCCACAATTTATTTGATAATTTTACATTTATTTCTATTATATTATAATAATTATAATAATATAAATTGATATATATCTATATATTATATATTACATATATTTATTTTTTATATTATATATATATATATATATATACATTTATATATATAATTCATGAATGAAATAAAGGTTCAATTAATTGATTAATTATTTTTCATGAATTATTTAATTAATTATATGTTTAATTATAAATTGAAGCACCCTGCATTAGCGAATAAAATTATGAATAAATAAATCTAAATATAATGAAATTAAAAAAAGAAAATAAGATAGTTAGCTTTTAACCTTTCCAGATCATCAGATGGTTCTGCTTGAAATGAAAAGTTTTTAAAAAAGAAAAAAATGGAAGCAAATGAGCAGAGTGGTTTTTACGAAAGGTTTGTGTGTGCCCAGTTGGTCTCTATGAATGATAAAGATGAAATGATAACATCAGTTAAAAACCAATACGTCGTTGAGGATTCCGAGTATGAACAACAATTTAAACTTTTGATTCTTTTGCTTAGCAATGCAGATGGTAAGACTATTTGTATTTCTAGGTTATGCATGTTAAAAATTGTATGCCTGGTTCTTAAAATATCATTGTAAGCTTAACTATTTGCTTTTATAAATTTATTTTCAAATAGACTTTTTTGTAATTTTTTAAATACAATTATGAATTGAGTAAATGTGGCATTACATTATATTATATAATTAATTGTTAAATAAGATAACGCTAATTCGATTGCCATGTTCCATGGATGATTGTATTTTTAAAAACAAACCTGGCAAGAATTAAGTGTAAAGTTTTTGTGTTGGAGTTTTTAATTTCGGGATTTTTAAAAATTTGTTGATGTTTTTTAAAACCTTAACCAGAGTTTCTCAAAGTGGGCGATAGCGCTACCTTGTAGTCGCTGAAGTCTTACTGGGGGGCGGTGACAGGTTTTGACAAAATTTGAGATTTTTAGAAGCTTTATGTTTGTGTATTGATCACTTTTTGTTGAGATTACAAAAACCATATCTTTTTTATGCTAACGTTATTGTCTATTTGTAAAATCATCAAATTCACCCATCACATTAAATCCATTTATGTTTAATTGTTCGTTTATTTCAACTTGGATTTAAAAATAACCTTTTTGTGAAATAGTATTTATTGTTTTTTTCTCTAAAAAATTATATAATTTTAAATTAAGTGTATGCATGGAGAAACATGAGTAATATATATTATTATTATAACTTACATACGCTTACTAAGAAGTTAATTTTTATTACATTTCTTTCAAATGAAAAATTTTTATGAGAGGACATTAGAAAAATTGTTATCTTAAAAGTGGTCGGTTGTACTTACACCTTGTTTGTTAACTTTTGTCAACGTTTAAATATATCTCACTTTTTGAGGTATTAATCTGAGTAGCTTTATCTCTATCTTGGGATTACATTTTCTCATTTCATCTGATCCTGATCAGACTCTCCTCCCGTGTAAACCATTGCTGACCATGATGGCGATGACGAAGACGATGCAAAAGTTTCACGTCGTAACTTGGTAGTGACGACAATGAAGCAACCCCCAGGCAAACAAGACGACGATGGCTATTAAAGTCTCTTCTACCGTGACATGATGGTGTCAATGACGGCAACGATAAGTTTTGCCCCTGACGGCATCAATGATGAAGAAACCTCCCCCACCGCCGCATGATATTGATGACGAAAAAGACGACATGATGTCGACGCGATCCCGTTGACGATAAAAAAATCTTCCCCACTGCGTAATATGAAGAAGCTCCTTGGCCGCGAGTTGGTGGTGACGACGAAGACGATGACAACGATGATGACAAACTACGACAAAATAACAGGGAACAATTCTGATTATTTTTGATTCGGATCATTAGTGTCGGTGCGATCGTAGCTGGTTCGTTAAATTCTCAATATAAGGCGGCCTGATGGTCTAGTGATTAAGGTCGCCTGGAGCTGTTTCTTCAGTAACCGGGTTCGAATATGACAAAAATATTCCCGCCTATTGCATACTTCGTTTGTGATGCGTCGTTTAGCATGTATTCATATACAATATTTGTGGCGTATTGTTGAATCCTCTGAACTTTGGAAGAGTGTATTTGACTTTTAACCTTTAATATTATCTGTTTTTGACAGTAAACAGATACGATTACAACTATTCTTTAACTGGTTAATAATAAATAAAACAACCGCTATGCAACGTGTTTAGGAGGTCATTCCTTCATTTAAAAACCGTCCATTCTTTTGAGGTTGGTAAATGGGTAGACGACGTAAGTTGTCGCATGTCGGCCGGCGAGATGGCTCATTGGTTCGAATGCTCGCTGAGTCAAAAATCTCAATGGCTATCATATACTCAGCGTATATGATGCGGTGCTTGCGCGTGCACATAAATACATGTGTACGTCGTGTGAAAAAGATAAACAGTCTTTGTGGCGAAGATAGCTGCTTCAAATCAATAGATGAGGATTTGAAGAACATAATAAAAGATATATAGATAATATATCTGTAGCATTGTAAGTGGTTCTGCGTATGTCAGAGCTGCAATAATAAAGACTAAAAAAAGCACATTTCGCGGTTGCAAAATTAAATCGAGAAGGCCTCCCAGTACATGAATCAAAGAGATTGAACAACGATATTGAATTGGTTCATTTTTTTTATCGATGTGAATATTAAAACCACCAAAAACAATCAAATCGTCACACTGCAGAGGTAGTTCTTTTAGCAAGATTAATAATTCCTTGAAAAACAATGCACCAACTGGATCCAAACCGGGGCGATAGATAGACAGCAAAAAACTAAACTTCGATGATTTGGGGTTTATTGCCACAGCTTTTAAGGTCATAGAAACTGGTATATTGAGTTTAATAAAAACAATTTCCGATCTGAAGTAAACAATCATACCACATTGCTTGGGGTTTTCAGATCTTAAGAAATCAACATAATTATATCTCGATGGCATGGCAAGCTTGATGGAGATATCATCAGGTCAGACCTACCGTGCCACGATTCTGTTAGAATGAGGATATGAAGCATGGAGCAAATGAAAAACATTGTTAACCTTAGCTATTTAACAAGCAAAGCTTTACATTACTGATGTTATTTTTGTTTTTATACTACAACTTACATTACTGCTTTTACTTAATATATTAGAATTTCTGTTTTTACGTTTTATCTTTTCTAAATCTTATTCTCCATGTTCCAATGTTTCAACGGAACTTGTACAAAAAATTATTTGAATCTGCTTCTTGTTTTTTGTTTGCAATAGCAATCAATTGGTTCAATTCTTATTTTTGCCATCATTTAGGATCTTAATTTTTAACAGATTTTTATGACGGTATTTTTAATTTCTTCGTCATTGAAAGAAATCCGTACAGGGCGCTGGGTATATCAGTTTTTTTGCCGATACGTCTCCTTTGAAACGAATTGTCATCTCTCACAACTCCACATGTGCCAAATAATGCTATTGATAATTTCTGACAAAATTAAATCGAAAACAAATAAGTCTTGAGATTCTTCTTGAAAGCATCCATGTTCATTTCCGGCTTCTTTAGGGACTCTGGTAGACCATTCCATAACACTAGACAAAGAATTGTTTTCTTTCAATCGAAAGATCATTATGTTATCATTATGCAAATCACAAAAAAAATCGAATTACTTATATGCTTCCCATTTCAATTTTATACCCTTCCTTGCAAAAAGTGTTCAAATGTTAAACTACCAGAATAGAATCATTTCACTGACTTTTTTTGAAAATTTTCTAATGATAAATTGTTAATTTTTTGACAGATGCAAAACAGCTCTTAAGAATGAAAGTAAAAAGTCATATGTTCACACGACCAAGAGATTTGGATGAGGATTTGTTGAGTCGTTTAATATCAGAGTTCTCTTCTCGGTCGTCATCATCCTCGTCTTTGTCTTCAATTCCTACAACATTTTCAGTTTCTCCCAAACTGAGAACTGTTTGTGACGATGGAGAACAAATGTCTGCCAATAAAGGTGTTGGCTGTAACATCAGGTATGCGCCTGGTGACAAGGACAATATTGACGTTGTTACTTCACGTGACATCGTGTCCTACTTCCTCCCTGCTGACCACGCAACTTCTGCCACAACAGCCGTTGGTACGACTGATGAACATTCATTCAACATTAATCCAGCATTTCCAGATACATGTTTGGTTGTTGCTGATAATAATTTGAACCCTTCCTTTCAAGCAAGCACTGGCAACACCGATTATCTCATCAACGAGGGTGCGTGTGTAGCTTTCAATATAGATTCTGGTCACGATGTGGTTGTAAAGGATAGCAATTTAAACAATAATAATGAAACCAACAACAGCATTTTTGGCCAAAATAATGCTGTAATTGATAATAATGTCACTAAATGCCTGGACAACGATGAATATAAAGATGATTTTATAATTTTGAACGAGAAATGCAGTCTTGATGTCGACAGTGAAGTCGAGAAAGACTACCAATGTGACTTGCCACTTCATCAACTAGATCTTTTTCCTTGTCAACTGAACTCTATTCTTCCACAACTTAACCCACCCTTTTCTCAAATGGATTCCCCCTCACTTCAAATAAATTGTCCTCCTCAGTCACTCCTGAACAGATTAATAAAAGTCATTACAGATGAGCAAGCAAACGAAGGTATACAACCAAACAAATTTGGATTCAGTGGTTCTGGTGTCGCCGATAAAAACATTTCTAATGAAGAGGTTGATAGTAAGTGCAATTCGAGCAAGGATAATATTGACAACGCTTGTAGCGCAAATGCCACTATAAATTGTTTCGACAACATGAACACTGAATGTGGAGCTAATATTGTTGATGATGTCATGATAAAAACCGGTGGTGGCGATGGAGCAGCAAATACTTCACAGGCGGCTGATGAAAATGATGATGTTGCTATTGAGGATGTTTTCAAATCTGGTGGTGGTGGTGATGTTGATGGTGTTCGTAATGTTGATGATAGTGGTAAATGTACTGAGGCTTTCAGCTTTGGTGTTGCACAAATATTGACAACGAAAAATGAGGACCGTGAAATAGATGAGAGCATTGAAAGTGAAGCTGGCAGCTTTGTTATAATTTCTAAACAAATTGTGAAAAATACAAACAAATGTATGAACATACATACAAGTGAACATGCAAGTGAACATGCAAGCGAACATGCAACTGAACATAGCTGTGAACGAACGAACAAACATGAAAACAAACAAGTGAACGAGTGTACTGGTAGCGACAGTGATGAAAATTATGAAAATATCGAAGAGATTGATTCAATTGAAAATTTGGTCAACTTTGAAAAGTCCAAAGACGATTATTTAAACAAGTTTGCCTGTTCTGGTGGGAAGGAGTTCGTTGTGATAGAATATGGGGAAGTGAACGATGTAATGCATCAGGACGACTCACTATCCAGTAGTGGTAATGTGGAAGGAAGTGGTGCAGTTGACAATTTTCCCAGTGACGTGGATGAGAATGAAGATTTATTTTTTGATGCGTTTGATTCCATGGTGTTTGTTGATGATCTGATGCTTACATCGCAACATCAGACATATGCAAAACCATCGTCGCTATCGCCTGTAACAGAAACCAACTCATCACGAACACCAGCTGTCGTTAGCGTTCCTACTCTAAATTTGTCTTCTTACACCTCTATATCAGCACTATCACCATCATGTCAATCATCATCACTATTTCAACCATCATCGCCACCAGCGTCTCAATCAGTCTCAGCACTTCAATTGTCATTGACATCAGTTCCATCAACAACATTTGTAGCTCCAAAAAATAAAACTCCAATATGTCAACATTCTTCTGGTATCCTGCAATTGACGACACATTCGGCTATTACAACAACAGCAGCAGCAACAGAAACAACAACAGCCACAACAACAACATCATTATCAACAGTAGTTGCAGCAACGACTATAACAGCCGCAACAACTACGACAACAGAAACACCAGTAACGGCAACAATAACAATAGCAACTATTACCACTACCACTACTACTGCTACTACTACTACTGCTACTACTACTACTGCGACTACTACTACTACTACTACTACTACTACTACTACTACTACTAACATCACTAGGGCATCACCGAGGAAGAAACCAACATCATCTCCAGTCAAAGCCGTCATTCACGACGTACCGAATGAGTCGTTCATCCATGGAAAGCTGCTGCAACACCTCAGGAAGGTTGCGTGTTTCGTCAGTCAGCTGGGCAAATATGACGAGGCCAACAAATCTTTGCCGGTCATCTTTGAAGATGCAAATGGTCGCTTATTTTAATTTTTAAATATTTTCTCCTCATTTTTTAAACAATTTCTTCCTTTTAACTAGCATGTCCTTTTTGACGAAACAAAAATTCAGATATACCTGGATAGTTCTATTTTTCAAATTTGTGTTTATATTTATTTTGGATTGAATATTTCTGACAACAACCTTCGTTAATTCAATTGAAGTTTTAAATGTTTTATGATGTTCCACTATTACCCAATAAAATAGTAATTTTTAAAATAATTTTTCAAACATTTTTTGCAGTTGCATCTCGAGTTTGTCACGGAGGGATTTTAAAAATTGGAGATGTTGAGTTGAAAGTGAGCGGGTTGGCTCTCGTTGAAAGTGATGGTGACAGAGGAATCCATGTGGTGCTCATGAATGACATCGCTGACAATTGGAATGTTCCGTTTCGTCCAATAAATGATGACGTTATTCCTAAGAGGACAAATGCCAGCAATGATGATTCGAAAAAAGATGTTGATGATTTTAAAATCAAAGTTGAAGGAGGTAAAGGAGTCAATAGCAATGTTCGTAATACTAAGAGCAAAACAATTTGCCAGCCCAACAGGAAAAAGTCCGGTCTGGAAGAGAGGAATATTTCTAAAACTTTTGAAAAAAATATCATACAAAGTGACAAAAAACAAAGTTTACCTCCAGGCAAAAGTGCTGTAAATTATCAAAGTGGTGATATTTGTGCGCAAAGTTCCAAACACAATGAACCAAACAGCATTACCGTTCCTTCACGAGATGTTCATATTTCGTTCACACCAAAATGTTCGACGAATGACAAAAAGAGCAAGCATGATAAGAACGAAGTATTTCAACGCATGAATGCAAGCGAGAAACATGATGAGGCGCATGATGAGGTCCCTGAAACTTCAACGCCACCACAATGTCTTTTTTCACGATTCAGCTCACTTATCAAAATTAAATATGATCAAACTAAAATTGATTCACAGGATTTGCAATTATATTTTGAAAAAATTTGTGATGGGGAGGAGTGCGAGATCATTGAAGATGGCAAGGACGGTAGGGCATTTGTTCAGCTGAATCATTCAAAAAGTTTGTTTATTTCA